TGACACCTGACAGACGCGGCTTAGCGGTGTGCACGGTAGCTGAGACGGCGTCCTCGGACGCGCCTCTCTTCGGTCATTCCAGAAAGGTTTGTCAATCGAGAAATATGACAAACAGTGACGGCGAGGACGAATTTATAAAGTTAGCGGCAGCTGCTTTATGTCGTCCTCAGAAATAAAGGGGACCCAAACACTCCTTGTCCATGATATTAATGTAAAACGACTCGAAGATGATAAACGTTACAAAATTTACTTAAGAATAAATACATTTATAACGCTGCAGTTTGTGGTTATATAGGCATTAGTGGCCACGAACACATTCAATTAATTTTTCTTCATCACACATCATATCGCGAGCGCAGTTGGTTCGCTTGTGACACTCGAAACGTCCGCGGACGCGTCCCGCGCCCCGTTCACACTGTCCGCGGACGCACAAACATCCAGCCGGCTAGATTCTGTTCGGACGTCCGAACGCTCAAGAGCAACGCAAGGTCATGTCCGCGTCTTAAGACCGATAGTTTGCACAGTGTAGTATTAAATGTACTGGCTAGATTTCAATAGGCCGCGTCTGTCAGCCGCGGCTGACGGACGCGTCCGATAATTTGTTCTCAGCTTTACAATATTATTAATGTATAATAGTAGCAGCTCCGTTTAGCCGCTGAATATTTAAAAGGCATCACCTACCTAATTACCATATGAAATAGCAAACGCTTTATCGGTTACATAACAGCTCTCTTCGAACGTCATTACTACTTGGTACATTAACCAATCGTTTTAAAATACGTAATAAATTCCACAAGTCTAAATGTGAAAAGCCATTGAGTCTTTGTGGATAGGTACTCTTTAAACGTGGTAGAGCCGATTTGGAATGTCCTACAATCTGTCTGTAGCACGAATTGGACCACCTTCTTACAGAATACCAGCGTAAAATAACAGCTCAATGCTGATGTTCGTTGTTTTCGTGTTCGTATGGTGAGTGTGTAACCGGAAACCCTATTAACTGGAAAAGAGACATTCCATCTTAGTCCTCAGGGGGTGGCAACGCATCTGCATTTTAATTATTAATTGAGGCTAGATGTAGATGTCTATGGGCCACAGCATCCACTTATCATCAGGTGGACTGTGTGCTAGTTTGTCACCCCTATTCTATAAAAAAAACATGGTCTATATGATCGACACTTCGACAAGGTCGACATTTTGCATGCACAATGTTGTTGAAACTTTTTTGGCATTGCTAACATACGTGATATTACCAGAAATAAATTTAGAATTAACAATAAAAATTTGGGACTAGCGTTAGGTTAAAATTTGACCGACAGAAACAAAACCTGACTTTACAGAACGAGAATAGACAACATTAACCGACGAATCTGTACTAACAGTATTTTTGCTAACCTAAAGTAAAGAAACGTGCAGACTTTACTCTTAGCAAGGATCGTATAACATGAGCTATCGAGCGACAGGCGATATGTTAACCATTGTAGCGTTAAATATAAAAGATCAAGTTATATTACACCCTTGCGGAATAAATAAAAATAAACAAAACTTCCTCGTTTACTTGTACGTTTTCTTCGCTACTTATAAGCATACCTACAAGATTTTATTAAATCTGAAAAGATAACGAGCGTGTGAGACGTTTTGTACTCGCTCTAAATTCGAACAAATTGTTACTCTACAATGTTTTTTTTAGAATGAAACATAGTTCATATTGCATTTTTATTAGAAGGCCTCTGAGGACTTAATTGGAATCTCCTACAGTCTGTAATTATACTGGCTATCATTTTTTTATAGCATTGGGTGACAAACGAGCACACAGTTGATGGTAAGTGGATGCTGTGGCTCATAGACATCGACATTTATCTTCAATTAAGAGTCAAAATGCAGATCCGTTATCACCCCTGAGGACTAAGATGGAATGCCTCGTTTCCAGTGAAAATCGTCTCTGGTTCACTACACTTACCATACTATACACAGCACCATTAAACTGCTATTTTGTACCTAATTCATCACGAAAAGAAAAAAATAATCAGTTACATTTACAATCAATCCAATTAACGTGTTGTTATCTGTTTTGTTGCCTTATCAAATATGTTTCTCTCGTCGGAGAAGAGCTAAAAAATAAATAACGACTAATTTATTTAGACATTTTTAGTCTTTATTATATAATTAAATAAAAATGATAACATTAATTGGGACAGTACAAAGAGTACGCACGCACACACTCACACGGCTTGGAACTACATATAAATAGTCTTAGTTTAATTTAAATACACAAATACAATATACTTATTATAATATATATTATATTTAAACCTAACGATCTAACAAAAGATTGTTGTGGATCAAATAGTTCTCCAGTTGGATGATCCAAGTTTACTTTTATTTATATGAGAAACTTATAAAGATTTCATTTATATAGGATAGGGATTGATAACTTTTATTTCTTGTTTTTTAGGAAACTTAATTATAGTTTAGTTTGTAATCATTCATTTCGTTTTTATAATATTATGGATCTTTTTCTATGAAGCAATTTCAGAGGGTTATAACTTATATAATATAATACTTTATTTCAGATATCAATCTGTCATTCATTTCGTTTTTATAATATTATGGATTTTTTTCTATGAAGTAATTTCAGAGGGTTATAACTAAAAAATAAAGTACTATATATAATATAGTACTTTATTTCAGATATCAATCTGAAATAAAGTATTATATTATATAAGTTATAACCCTCTGAAATAGTGCAAATTTCATTCGTTGCATTTTGCGTGATTAACATCCTTGGCATAAACCTGCTGTACACCGGGTGTACCGTTAAAAATAAGCACATTTACGTGCAATTGACGCCTGGCACCGCTGCATGTGGGTCGGATCTGGGCCGTGCTCGCATTCGAGTCACTGGGTTAATGTTCGTGTCAATACAATAATGTTGGTCATTTGCCAGTGCTGGGCTCCGCATCCCATGTTGTGATAGCTGGCATTTGTTATCAGAGGTTTAATAATACAGAAGTGATGCGATTTTATTACGGCTATATCTCTGTACTGATGTATTCCCACAGATTTGTACCATTGAATGAATATAATAGAATAGAATAGAATCATTTCTATCCAATATAGATTGCAACAATACTTTGAAAGTCGTTCAAGCTTTACCACAGGTTCGGAAAATAAAACTTTGACCTGGGAAGAACAAACAAGAAATTCAGCAGGACTTTATTTTAAACATTATTTTACAATATAACATTTTAGTATGATTGGATTATATTAATTAGATGATTGGCAGCCTCGTACCGGCGTAATGTAGGGTGCCCCACCCCCCCACTAGATGGAGTGACCACCTGGTAAGACATGCAGGAAGTCGATGGATGCAGGTGGCTCAGGACCATGCTTTGTTGCATTCCTTGGGGGAGGCCTATGTTCAGTAGTGGACTTGTGAAGGGCTGTAATGATGATGATGATGATGATGATGATGGGTTTTATACAATTTATTATGAAAATATTTAGAAACAGCATGGTAGCGATCATGTCGTTCCTATGGGTTATTATCAATTATATACTCTTTAGTAGTATTATACTAATTAATAAATCTTTCTTAACAATTTTTGAATGAAAAATGAATTCATATTTTTACATCTATCTAATATAATATTCTAAATGAGTCGACTGAATACAAACAGGGTATTCAGTCGACTCATTTAGAAAATGAAGGAAGGAGGCTTATAGAAAAAATTAGGTTTTGAACAAAAAAAAAATTCAGGATACTTAAACGTAACACCCTTTTCTATGATGTATTCTTAAGTATTGTAGATACGCTATCGCTATTTTCGACTCCACCTTTTTTAGCTACCGGAAGTCATCTTTAGTAATCCCAGTGGTTTATCGCTAATGCGTAGTTAATGACTGTAAATTTTACATTACCCACATTGTAACAGGTGGTCTTTGATTATATAGACAGGTATATATAATCAAAGCAGGTGGTAATTCTTTACTTTTAACTACAACGAATGCCGACTATAACAAACAACACATTACTTTTTTAAGTAGATATACTTAAAACGATTTTAGTTGCTATAAGAATATTTGACAACCTTAAGTGTGGTGATTACAAATCGTCCCCACTGTGGGAAAAGCCTATGTAAAGCCAGTGCTGGAGCTAGACTTTTATGGACATGAAGAAGAAAAATAACATAAGTTTTAACGAAGTCAAAAAACATTGGTACAATATAATGGATTTAATAAAGTTAGACTTCAAGTTTTAACCGTTCCTACATGCGGTGTACGCCGCAGCTCGCTCTAACAAATGGAGGTGGTGAACACCAACTCCTACAACACCACTTAGGGTGATGTGTATGGGCTCGTTTCTTCTTATAATATTCAGACCCTATAATAGTCTCTAATTACTGTCACACTCTGTCATATCAATACATGGTTTACTGATATTCTCGGATTGAACCTATTGTTTAAGTAGAGACCTCGCATTACATTGCAGTTTAATTCACTTGTGTGCAGGACTTCATTATTAAACTACGTTTTGACTGTAGTTACTAAGTGAAGCCGGCCACAGTCGCGCGTGTACCTGCTGTACTACCATATGTCAGAGGTGTCACAGACTAGGTTGGCTACATCTTGAAGCGAGCTTCCATTAAAACATACTAAAAGCCGCCGAAGAAGATTAGTCAATTTTTACCATCTATCAAGTGATTCCTCTACACGATGCAGGAGTTGACAAGTTAGATTATGGATGTGATCTGTCTTACATAGGACGTAATATATACGTAATAATACGATGTAATAAGGTGGTATGTGTTTAAAAATATATTAAATGGAAACCCAGTTGAACAAAGATAACTTACTATTTAGTATTCACAGACTGCGTTATCTGCGGCGCTGTTTACATTAGTGTGAATAAACACCTTTTGTAGGTAACACCTACGCTACTTGCAAAATCCGCTTCAATTTGCATCGTTCTAAGGAACTGTGGGTATGTGTCTGACTCGAATATGCAGTTATCGACAGGTTAACTAACAATGCTAATTGAAAGGGACTTTCATCTGTAAATGTATATAAATATTCAACAGTGCAGCTATGTAAATCTGGGAACAAGCGTTAGCCGGTGCGTTATATTTTTTCACTCGACTGCCTCGTTGGTCTAGTGGTTATAGTAGTGCGACTGCTGATCGTGAGGTCCTGGGTTCGAATCCCGGGTCGGGCCAAAAAAATTATTATTGAGTTTTTCCGTCAAGAAATTCTCAGTAGTTGCCCGGAGTCAGGAAGTTGGCGGTGTCTCACCGCCTTGCCTCGGAAAGCACGTAAAGCCGTTGGTCCTGCGCCTGATCTCTCTCCGGTCGTGTCGGTTTACCATCCCATCGGATTATGAGAGTGAGGGAATAGAGACTGCACCTGTGCTTGCGCATACACTTGGGCACTATAATCCTATCCTGCGCCGATAGCCTCCGCTAAGGCAGGCCGCCGTGGGCGAATTACGGTCTGGAGGACATTATATTTTTTCATTAGGTATGACAACATGTTTATTTGGCATATTTCAAAAACAGGGAGGTTCTATGTCCGACTGAATGTGACCTTTAGTGTATATTTACAGATTTCTACGTCAATTATTGACCGATTTTGAATTAAATAATTTTAGCACCGTGTTCAGAATGTGAATCTTATTTTATTCTTTTTAGTTTTTCAAAATTGGCTTTTGCTTATTGTTTAAAGTTATTTAGGAAACTAAAATAAGCAAATAATATTTAGGAACCTAAAATACAGTGGTTAATAATTGATATAAATACATCAACACAGTCAGTCAAAGTCAAACGTCAAAACGGAGTCAAGCACGATTCTCACCAAAATTACACAATTGCATATGAAAGGACGTTTCTATTCAGGTAGTCTACGACGCAAAAGAGTAGCCTGCGTAATGTACTTATAGCTTCAATGACATTGTATATATTAATGATGAATAAGAGGGGACATCGACAAAAGTATATATATATATATATATATATATATATATATATATATATATATATATATATATATATATATATATATATATTTAGTGTTAATAAAGGTTACATTTAATTCACAAACACTGTTACGCTAAATAGGAGGAGTTCACAATAGCAGCCCAGTTAGGAAGTTGGCGGTCTTTCAATCCCGTGCCTCGGAAAGCACGTATAGATGTTGGTCCTGATATCTCTCCCGTAGTGTCGGATTGCCACCCTATTCTACTATGAACTGCAATCTTTTACTACTATCCTGTCCTGTTCAGATGCATATTCTCTCTTGATAATGGTCCGTCGTAGCATTGTGATGGTCGACCTGGTCGATCTGACTGACGTTATGCACGGAACTACAAATATTGTTTTTAATTTAGGAATTCTTAACAGCAATCATATTTTTAATGAAATAGAAAATATTTACAAATGGACATTTTTCTCCTCCAGCGGTGTCAGCGAGATGGTCGGCCCTCCGTGCAGCTGCATTGCGACGAGGTGGCGCACGGCGTTTGCGTCGAGAAATAACGGCTTTACGGGAGACTCTTGACGACGTCTGCGAGCCTGGTGACTGCGCCCCTCAGCCGCACACCAGAGCTCAGCTTAATAGAAGAATTGATGAATTGAAGGTAAAATTGGTTGAAATAAATCTATTATGGTTATTATAATGATGTTTTCCATAAAAATTGCAACTTATGAATGTATAGTGCAAGGAGTGTTCGCGCAATCATCGAGGAATCATTCATAACCGTTGTAATGAGTTTTTATACCTGGTAGAGCCATGCTACAGTTTTATTAGTTGTATAGTTGTAGCACGAATGGGTCGGCACGACCGGGGAAGGATCACGCTCTCACAGAATACCAGCGTCAAATAGTAGGTTAATGCTGCTGTTTTTCGCATGGTGAGTGTAGAGAACCGGAGCCCCTTTTTACTGGAAACACGAGGCATTCCATCTTAGTCCTCACGGGTGACAACGCATCTGATTCGTAATCGAAGGATATATGTAGATGTCTATGGGCCACAGCAACCACTTACCATCAGGTGGACTGTGTGCTTGTTTGTCACCCATATCCTATAAAAAAAATACTTTTTAATTTTTTGAAATCGAATTTTAATTTTTTTACTGACTACGAAAAGGTTTCAATTCGACGGTATATTTTTTTATATGTGTTACCTCATAACCTTCCTCTGAGTGAACCGATTTTGATGATTCTTTTTTATCTGAAAGCTGAAAAAGAATATCAATCGATCGTGTGGTCCCATATAAATTTAATCAATATCTGACCTGTAGTTTTTGGTTATCTTTAGTAATGCGTATTTAATTGACTTCGAATACATTGATGATGTTTTCATTTTGATTATATTGAAGTCGGTTATACAAAACTTTTAATTTTTCCACTTGTTTAAAGTATTTTTTAAAAAATGTCGCTTCGATGCCGTTACATGGTACTACAATAGCAGTCTACAATGTCAATGCATTTTGCATCTCTAATGACGCATATTACAGAACCGTGCATAATCTTAAATTCGTTCCTATAACTATCATTACGTACGCTCCTTATATATAACTTTGCCAGCGTGATTTTTGCGCAAATATATTACCTTATCTGTACCACATCTTCATAATAAATTTAAATTTAAGTAAGAGTTTATTTAACCTTTCTTGTAATATAGTACATTCAAACGCTATTTCAAAATTATATAAGGTTATAATATTAGTATGATTTCTATTCCTACATAAAAAATAAATAAAAAAGATGATATTATTTCTCTTAATTTTAGATGGCAACGTAGCACTTTTAGAATTCTCGAATTATATGAAGATATCAGACGCAGGCACATAAAATATTGCAAATAAAATTAACCTATCTTATTCTTCTTTTCTCTTTTCCAATGGCTCGATAGCGCAGTACGGCCCTGCAGCGCAATTGAGCCGGGTTCAAATCCCGCATGGGACAAGTGTAGCACTTAGTACTAATAATTAACAGAGACAAATATAAAGAGAATAAAGAAATATTTGCCTACCTATATTATAATTACTAGAGTTTAGTTTGAATGGTGTAATATTTTATTGCAGGAGAGATTATCGCGTCTCCTAGAATGCAAGGTGTCATTGCTGAAACTGACTGTGTCGGTTCGACGCACTCTTGGCGAGATGGGGTCAGACGAGAACGGCTTGACCGAGGATCTGACGGCACTGCTAGCAGCCTGGGATGACGCGCATCAGCGGTAATTTTTTTATTTCTTTGTTTCGTGCATTATTTTTATAATAAAAATTTATTTACTTATAAGTTGTAGAGCCATGTTGCAGCTATATTACAGTTGTAGCATGAATGCGTCGGCTCGACCGAGATAGGACCACGCTCTCACTGAATACCAGCGTAGAATAGCAGCTTAATGCTGCTGTGTTTTGTATGGAAAGTGTAGAGAACCGGAGACCCTTTTTACTGGATACGAGGCATTAATTACATCGTAGTCCTCAGAGGTGACGATGCATCTGCATATTTTTATTCGAGGATAGATGTAGATTTTTATGAGCCACAGCATCCACTTTCCAAAAAGGGTGTGTGTGCTCGCTTGTCAGGCTTATTAAAAATCAAATTTTATACGTAGAATATTTAATGTTTCATTTAGTGAATTTACCTCAATGTTTATAAAATGTGGTGTCAATATATCAAATTTGATACATAAGAATCATCTATGAAATATACCTAAATCAGAATTTATTCATCATATTATTGAATAGCGCACATGATATAGATCCCACTGGCCAGTTCGGCACTTTATTAAACCTAAAAGGATTCGAAGTGTGTTTATTTTTACCTTTAGACATACAGATTTCGCCACGATTCCTTCACCACTGAGCAAGTGGTATACGTCCTATATACTTCCCAGGGCTGGGCCCAGATCTTTTCCCATTTCTAAGAGGGTGTTAGGCCAAGGAAATGTCCGCCGCGCTTCCCAGTGCGTGTTGCCGAACTTCTGTCAGATTTTTTCATACATGCAGGTTTCCTCACGATGTTTTCCTTCACCACCGAGCACGTGGTAAATCAGCACTTAAAATTGCAATTAACAATTTCATTGGTGGCCGGCGGGGATCGAATCCAGTTTGCTCGCGTACTGTAAATTCACAGCGAGCGCTTAGCACCTTTGTTACCTGAGCTGAGCAAATGGTTATAATCAACGATTAAAATTGCAATAAACAATAAAGAACAATTACGTACTGAGTAATTTTAAGTCTGACTATCATCGCCTCCACTGAAATAAGCAAATATAAAACATTATATTATGTATTTTACACGTGCCACGTTTTCCTTAATGTACATACGTGTATTTAAACTGTAGGTATATTTACATTCATTATGTAATACTGTGACATATGGTGATATGTAAATTTGTCTGATCTTTACCGTGACTTCAACTTAATTTTGCATATGGGTTAGTTCATTAAACAATTAGCGTGACCTCTATTGTCTTACACAACCTTGTGCCTTGACTGTATCAGGAAATCCTTAACGTAATTATTTCATTCATAACAATTGAAATCAACACGAAGGATAATAATATGTTAGGACATAGTATTTGTTCAAAATTTAATATGTTTGAAGTGTTGCCTCATTATATAAAAACAAATGTTGCTGGTCCATGAGCTGTTCAAATTAAAATTTTGTATGACACGATCCATTTAATTTGAATAATGAAGTAATTGTGAAAAGACCAGAATTTTGTAAGAAATGCGGAACGGATATGTTCACTTTAGCTAAAAAAATTTAATATTCGAAACATATCCAAATTTATTATACTATAGAAATATATATTTGTATTTGCTTTAAATTTAAAAAAAAATTATATATCACTACTTATTTTTCTACGTAATATAAAAATACGCGACATTGTGTTCAAACAAAACATTGGCAAATAAAATGTGACGATATCCGTCTCACCTACGTCGTACGTACGTAGTGGTTATATACTCATTGGTGTCGCAAAAGGGGAGGAAGCTCGACTAACAACAAAATGACGAAATAAACTGGCGGGAAGCCCTACTCTTACCAACAACCAATTTGTCGGCTGGCTACCCTTTTCTTTCGCCTATACCATCTGTCAAAAATTTGTCAGAGCTTTTTACTTGTAATTAGGCATTCCATAGTAGTCCGCAGGGAAAACAACGCATCTGCATTTTGATTCTTAATATCAAGACATATTACCTTGGAGTGGCGGTGTAAGAATATCTACAACCCCATATTAACCCGTGGGTGTCGTAAGTGGGAGATAGTTTTATAAAAAGAATTGTTTTATATATATATATATATATATATATATATATATATATTTATATTTCATCTAGGAAAGAAATAATGTAGAATATATTTGTTGCAGGACCTCGAACGAACTTCTCTCGTTGGAGAAAGCGGTATCCGCTTGGGCAGAATGGGAGAGCGCGTTACGTGAACTGCAAGGAGCATTACGTGGGGACATGGCCACGTTGCAAGCGCTGAGGGATCGTGGGGGAGACCAGCCGGACGTAGCTAAGCAAATACGACAGCTTGCCGCTTCGCTTGTAGATAAGAAAAAGGTAAGCTTATTGTACGAGTAGCATACATAAGTAACATACAAGCATACTACCGGATGTAGATGCTAGGGTCACGGCATCCACTTATCATCAGGTAGACTGTGTGCTCGTTTATCACCCTTACTCTATAAAAAACAAACGTGCTGCGTAGATTTTTATATTTCCGTTATTTTACAATTAACATTTTTCCTTAAAAGTGACTTCAAAATTTTCTAATAAAATTTTCTCTAAGGCATATCTAAAAAGAACAAATATCACAAATATGGAAAAATGCATGGCATATCATTATTGTGATAATTGCTATCAGATTTTATTTTAAAGATTCAACGATATTTTAAAATGCTGTTCGCAGCGCCTAAGAGCCTCTAACCTCTATCACCCTACCCGAAAATATCGAGATTGGGGTTAACTAAGAAATATGTCACGCATTGGTTATACAATCTTGTTTTAAAATTTTTGGACTATGCCTGGCGAGAAGATGTGCCGTAATCACCTCATCGCTGTCCTACCGAGTTGAATCGGTCGATAGACCTCTCGGTCAAAATTGGTCTTACCCAGTCGGACGGAAAGTTCATCACTTGACATGCCGACATTCAATTTGCCACCCCTGAAGGGACTATGGCACTGCCCAAATGTAGGCGAAATCAAAAGCTTTCTTATATTGTCCACATATGCAATGCATAGTGGTAGATTGTACTCTTCGAACTAATGGATAATTTGTCGAAGGGTAATGTATATGGTCTAGTCTGTCTGCTAAGTCTGCGTGCGAGATGATTCATAATGGCTCTCGAAAACAGCACACGGTTACATAAGGTAAATCGGTCTGTAGTTCTTCAAGAGAGCGTTGTCGCTTTTCTTGATGGACAAGACCACTGCACACTGCTCTACGTCTCCGTAGTAATGCCACCATGGAGGCGGGGCCTTGTCGTTTTTATGATGCTGGATAACTATTCTAACCTTGGTCAGACTGACGTCCGAAACATCATCGGAAAAAACTTGCTCTTGGGTCGTTACTCATACTTGCGTGTGGCTTGCAGAACTTAATACCGACCGAATAGACAATTTCCACGAGTTTGTCGTTCACACTGTCCACTGTATCGCTGTCTTCTAGACACGTTTTTCGGGCTTTGGATTAGATCACGAGGGGGACAGAGCGTTGACTTCATAAGACGTGACGTCACGTTTATGTTCAGTGTGCTTCTCGCTATTCAGTGATCGCTGCCAGTTTTCATCCTCGAGATCACCGACACATCACTGATCCGTTGCCGTCGAGTCGGCATAATGAAGTCAACCTCATTTTTGTCGAACCGTCAGGGCCAGAATAAGTCAACTTTCTGTCGCTTCTGGAAGAAAGAGTTGAGCATAAAGAGTCCCTCTTTTTCCATGAAGTCGGCCAGCTGCTGGCCTTTTGGGTTCCGTTACTCTATCCCCAATTTCCCTACCTTCAGCTTACCATTTTCTCTTGTGCCTAGTTTTGCGTTGAAGTAATCGTTTAATGGGTTTTGGGGGAACGCGTGGCTCTAGAGATATCTATAGAGATAATTTGTGAGAATATCTCATCCACCTTCTCATCGGGATGTGCCGATAGCGCTTGAACTTGCACGATCTTTAACGAATACCATTTGGTGATTCTGAGTATAAGCACAGTATAACTACTACAAACAGTCGGTCATCAAAGGCGACTGGGCAATCGTGTGGTGGGGGTGGCAGGGTTGTCTTGTCACGTTGCAAATAAATTAAAATGGTTCACATTACATGTGCGGCAAAAACACAGCGGTATAACAGGAAATTCAAAATCTTGTAGTCAAACAAGTGGTAAAATTAAACTATTAACGATAACTCAAAAACTACTGGTCACATCTTGATCAAATTTATATGGTACCACATAAGAAGCACCAGCTTCTTTACCAAATTAAAAAAAAAATCATCAAAGTCGATTCACCTAGAAAGAAAACAGTCGAACTGAGAACGACGAACTTATTTTTGAAATCGGTTAAAAATCAAAAATTTCTATCACTTGCATATTTGTAAATATGTTTTGATTTATTATCAATAGGGTAGATGAGTTAGGTTAAAAACAAATATCACTTAAAAGAAGATTTAAAATAATACGATAGCTGAAAAAAAAAACTAATAGCCGCCAAAATATAGCCGATATTAAAGAAATACACTGTAAAATATTCTTTGCGGTCTACTGCCCGCAAAATGGACAAATCGGCAACTTTAACTTACTTCGACGATAAGCTTAATGACGTGAGTTTGTGTGTATGTCGTTTTTGTCTATACAGCCGAAGCTGGCAAGCGGGTTGGAAACCGCAGTTTTTTTATTGAAATTATGCTGTTAACAGAAAGTAACTGCTACTCATCTCCTGCCTCAGTTTCACTCTGTCGCCTCTTACGACACCCATACGGAGATATGGCAGAGTGGATACTTTTACACCGCTACTATACGGTATCGCAGTACGGAATCACTGCAATTGAAATTCCGCCTGACAAGTCTGGTGATTGAGGCAAAAAAAGTTAGTACATATTTAGTTTTAAAGCGGAGAAAATTCCTTAATGCTACTCCAAAGCCGCCGTTTGGGTCCTTTGGGTCCTTCACATGTCCTCTTAATATTTTGAAATCCTTAGGCGTGCAATTTTTCACACATTTTTCGGATTTACCAAATACGTTATGTCTATGTTTGATTGCAGGGCGGGTCGACGTGCGACTCGCTGTCGGACTCGGGCATTTCGGACGGCGATAGCGAGGCGGCAGGCGGGCGCGCGCGGCGTCTTGGTGCGCTACGCGAGCTCGCGCGCCGCCTGCAGGCCGCGCTCGCGCCCGGCTCGCCCGCGCACCGCGCCATCGCCAAGGTGACCCACGCATACGCTACGAATACACACCCACACACGCGCGCTCACGCGCGCACGCACGCACGCAAGCACGCGCACACACACGAGCACGCATGCACGCACTCACACACACGTGCACGCATGCACACGCGTACACACGCACACACACATATATAGCTCTCACTCACTCATACCACACACCCAGCGAAACACAGCGAAGCAACTCGCTCGCGTCCAAATTACTCGCACTATACATGATTGTGACAGTATATACAGCACACTTTAAAAAGATGACTACACCTACGATACTACACATAACATATTGCACATTATTTTCGACTTATGACGCACTGCCTTCTAAACAAAACACAAAATACTACCCACTATAAAATACCATACACAACAAAAACTACTGAGCGAAACATATTGCATATTACACATAACACCACTCTTGATACTACGTCTTGCGTACTGCATACACAGGTAGACAAATGCTCTCCACACAAGACATTGAATAATAAATTTAATCATTTTATTTTGCAGCGTATGGAACAAACTGAGAACGAAGTGAAAACGTTGCAAGAAAGTTGTCGGGCTCTCGTGGAACAGAGCATTCCCGATCTGAAAATTGATGATGAGACGTAAGTGTTCAAGTATTTGTGTTTAAGTAGAAAAAGTTTAAGTATTTGAGATATGATTATTGATAAAACCTTGAAATTAAACTCAAAGTCATCCCATATATTTCTTATCTACAAAATCATCATTTTCCTATTAAATTAATTGTTATGTTAAGAATAAAGATGTTAGTTTTTTTTGTTAAATATGTATTATGATTTATGATAGATATTATTGTAAAATTCCATGAAAATAAATGGTTATTTTTCTTCTATTAATTTACTGAAACTTTTAAAATAATTAAAGCACATACTAATAACGTATTATTTCGACAGAGACAATGTAAGTGCAGTGGCTGGCAGCAAAACGGGAGCAGGGGACCCAGATTATAGTCCGCGAAGTGGATGGGTATGGCGCGTTATACGCTCGTCGATTCCCATACAACTGTGTCTCGTCGCTTTGCTCTTAGCAGCGTGGTTGGTGGAAAGGCCACGTTGTTGCGACGCTCTTAACTCACTGGCCCAAACCTTGACTCCTCAGCTACGTTACGTCCGTGGCCCACCGCCAGTGTGAACACAGATTCAAGCCCTATGGTCGTAATTTGCTCGTAATCTGGTCGTAGTTTGACACGTTTGACATAATATAAATCGTGTTCGCAGCATGGAAAACGGTAGACATTTTTTCTGCTACGAAGCGATTTTCAAATAAAATAAGGTTGTGACATTCATTATTTTATTGACATAATTCCTGTTATCAATGAATTACTTTGAGAAAACTCCGTATTACGGGTTTTGGAAAATGAGAATAGTGAAAGTTTAGTTGTGTTATTTATTTTATATAAAGACGCTGTTAAGCTAATAACGATATAGCTAAGGCGATGGTTATGGGATTGCATGAAGCAAAACATTTTATTTGTATTTGAATCTGAAGTGTTTACACGATAGTGTAGGTAAGGAGAATGTTTAGTTAGAAAGCGACTAACATATCTAGGAGAAAAATAGATATTCAATTTATATAACTATTTACACTGTGTAAGAAATATTAAATGACAAAAGTTTTAAAGTAGTAATTACTTATTAATACTTTTGTGTGATTTATCAAAAAAAATGTTATAATAAACATTTATGACAGAAGAAATAAGTACAATAATGCAAATGCATTTGATTACAATAAAAATTGATTTGCTCATGTTTAAAAAAATAGATAAAAGTGTTCCCAAAAAAACATCATCTGTATCAGATGAAGTTCAAATTAGCTACTGTTTTAGAGTTAGTATACTAACAATTTGGCAGACATTTCTTAGTTTGTTTGTAAGCATGCCTATTTTAGTACAATTAATTATTAGATTAATAAAATAGAATAGGAGTGTGCTTTGTGTGAGAAATTTTCAAAAGAACTTTTTACCTCACTGCCATTATATAAAGATAAAAACCTCAAAGAGGCCACATCTAATAATAGACTTACTGCTAGGAAATGGCATCATATTTAAATGTTCATTTTACTAAAAGATACAAGAGCCATAAAATATAGTTTTCACAGTGAATAAAAATTCATCTAAATGTGCTGAAAGACTGATTTTGTTACTTCTATATTATTTTGAAAAGGGGACTGTAGTATTTTATTATTAAATTCTTTTCATAATTATTTTCTATGCTGAATTTTCTGATTAACCTTTATATCTATAATTTTGATATCTATAGATATTTTTCAGTGTTACAAATTGTAATTTTTATAAAAATATAATGTCATCAATTTTATATAATGCCAACAAAAACAATAGTAGTTTAAAATAAACACTTCAATTTCTTTATTATTTAATACTTATTGAAAATTTAGTGTTACCTTTGTTATATATTATTCTTTATAAATTTTGATTTTGTTTTTAAATTAATTATAAAATAATATTCAAATATATATTGATAATGTTTAATAAAAATATAATGATTATTATATAAATGTTGCTATATTATATTTTTTTCTATTGTATTTTACACGTTATGCAACTTGATGAAAACAGTTACATTTTAACGTAATTTGCGACTGACAGAATAATCAAACATCTAGAAACTCCATCTTTGTCCTAACTCAATATCTGAATAGATTTTTGGATCAACTCGAGTTAAAGGAATATACTTTTGATAATCTATTTATATTGTCTGCATTGTTAATGGAAAGATTCAAAATATTTTCTAATATTGTGTTAGCAACACCATATTTAAACAGTAATATGCAAGCAGCATTGATTGTGAGCGCCGACCTTAACTTGTGTGGTAAATATTTTTAAGTAGTTTGTTGCTATCAAGTAAAGCACAGGGGCACTAATCCCTCTGTCGAATTGGTTTGTTGATTGATTTGTAGTTTGTAATTGGACATCAATCACAAACTACGGCACCATATGAGTTAGAAGTACGAGTACGATCTATGTACTGTACGTATAATAATTGTACGAAAACTAGCAACACCAAAATTTCCAGCATTCACGGTTGTGCTAACTGCTATACTATTTGTGAAAATATATTTTAAATATTCAATTCAAAGACAATTATATTTCCTCAGCTCAGAATTTGAAGTTGTGAGATTTTCTTAAGATAAGAATGACAGAATGGTAATCGCTTAGGAACAGTAGGTAAATTGTTTGTTGTGTATGGCGCATTTTAGTTTTGCGTGTTTGCTTAGGAGTAAGACATTTCCCTGTGTGGTATATAATATGAAATAACATTTGTGAAATAAAGATTACAAATAATTTCAGTCCAAAATTTATTTAATGTGGTTGATTTTATTTTCACACGGGCAATACAATTTGAATGTGTTCTCACATTATATTAAAATACGCATAGGGAAAAATATTATAAGATCATTCTGTTAAAGGCGCCTGACGCCTCCATAGTGTGTCATATTTCTCTAAACGTTTTGTATTTTAGATTTAACTAAGATTAGCGAAAGAGTATGGGCATGCTATGACAGTGCATTTAAAGCTTAATTTTAACGAATGATAAAGCATAATAAATAAGTGAAGGATTTTAAAACATCATGTTGGCTTGTCTTTATGGAAATAAAAATTTGGTTTAAAAACGTGGTATTTTTATTTAAAAAAAAAGTATAGTGCATACACCAAAAGAAATGAAATATTAATAAATGTTATAAAGATTGGTAACATAGAATGGGCGGCAGGGGTCACTTACAATCAGATGAGTTGTATCCTCGTTTGCCTTCTCTTATATAAAAAAAGATAGAAATATTATAAATATAAGGTAGCGCAGCAGATCCTGTTGACCTGAGTAGTCCAGAGTGACCTCAGTTGACCAGATCCTGTGACGTGAGTAATCTGGGTTTGGGCACTAATGAAATTGTAATTATAACTGTTGATTTACCACATATCCGGCAGTAAAGGAAAACGTGAGAAAACTTGCATATCTGAGTAAAACATATAACACATGTCTCCTTTTTGCTGTCGGTCTGTTTCTGCCAATGCTTACTGAAGCAGTGGGGCAGAACCTGAGAGGCCTGTGCCCAGCCATGAGACGTATAAAGGATGGATTAGACTCTTCTTGCTAGTTTACTGCTCTGGTGATAGTAAATTCTAAATATTATCTTCATGTGTGGTAGGAAATTTCTAGAAAAAATACTTCGGAGCCTTAGACCATTCATAAGAGCAATTCCTGTGGTATGTACGATGGAAAATGCAGAGATGCAATGTCTCTGAAATACCGAAACCGATTTAAAATAATTCTCTTGTCGAGGCGGCTTGCGCCCTATAAAGTAGCATAGAGAGTAAAGAGTTAACATGAAATACTCCTTATTTATATATATATATATATATTATTTTTTTTTTTTATCAGGTTGTTTGGAAACTGCGTGCAAAGCCTGAAGGAGAAACCTTAAACCATTTAGAACATATTAACATGTTGGCTGTCCAAGTTGATTTGGTTAAGTAACGGTCTACGTCCACTCCTTTTTTGAGATAAAATAGATAAGGATTATGCAAATAGGTACTTGTAATAACGTAATAACCTCTATGGTACTTAAAAAACTATTACAGGCTAAATTTTCGCATGCCCTATATTATATAGTGCATGGAATTCTCAGCTTAATTTTTATGCACTATATCTATATGTAGTGTACTGTAGTGTACTCCGCAGCTAAATTTTTTGCACTATTTATATGGCACCTGTGATTCTTTTATTTTGGGTATGTTGCATACAACTTTAACTTTATAAATTTATAATTTGTGGTATGTTGTATGTTCCGAAATGTTTCCAGTATACTGGCTAGTGGCTATGGAATGTAGAAGTAGTAGTAGTACCTCTATACTACATGATACTGGCGAATGCAAATGACGTCATTAATTGCCGGCATATTCCACCCATAGATTTAGTACTAACTGACATTAGAATAGATTGGCTATGCAAAAGAGAAAGAGCATAGTATACGCGTATGTTAGAACGAGAAAAATAAGCTGGGCCATTCTGGTATTAGCTATAGGCCTAAATCCCGCTTGTATTTGTAAAATCTCGGGTTTCAAAGTAAAAATTTGTGTTTAATAGACGTAATTAATTATGAATAGGTGCGTATCGTATCTAAATATAAGTCATCTCAGAAAGTAATCCCTTATTTTTATACATTTAACCCATTGGTACGATGGAAAAGTTAAGCTGTCTGAATACTGTGTTTTGGAGCATATACAAACAATTTGTACTTAAATGGATGGGAAAAATTATAACATTTTATTATAGTAATCATTTGAATGCAAAGTAATTGAATTTAAAATAATTACAAATACGTGAAAATCTGCTAATTTTAACCTCAATTTTGTAGAGATTGTAATTATCGAAATGAAAAATCGAATCGAATCGATAATATCTTATCGAAATGTCTATATTAGGCAAATGTGCGCCTTGCATGCAGCCTTATTCAACTTATTATTTTTTAATTATTTGTATTACTTTTATTATTTAAAAATATTTTTATAGAATTAGGGTGACCACGGAACACACTGTCCAGCTGATGGTAAGTGAATGTTGTGGCAGATTTACACAAAATATTTATCTTGGATAAAGATGGTTAAAAGTAATAAATAGGAAAGAAGGGTTTCCAAAAGAAAGTATTCGATTATATGCAGCGAAAAAAAATTGTGTCGGTGTAAGATTATCTACTACCCCATATCATCCCGTTTATCGGTTATTAGGAAAACAAATCAGGAAATGATCAGCAGCGTCTTCGTAATAACGACTAAAAATAAAAAAGTCTGCGGTTGCTTACCCGCTTCCCAATCGTGGCAACTACGGCAAATATGAGGTAATCTGTGGGGTAGGCCTGTGTTCAGCAGTGACTTTAATAGGTAATAACAATAACATAAAGGTGGATTAAGAAAAAATTACTCCAACCCATACAAGCATAAACTCTTTTTTTATCTTTAAGGAGAGCTTACAACATTTTTATAATAAATTGATTCTCTTTGAAGGATTCTAAAACATTGACATCATAGTCTTGTTTAATGCCTTTTTTGTACGCGTTTCTTATCATAGATTGGTTTTAGTTATTAACATTTAATGTATATACACATCATAACTCGC